GTACTCCAACCTGGGCAACAGAGTGAGACCCCAACTCAAAAAAAAAAAAAAAAAAAGTCTAGCCTTCAGTGTAGGCAAAGCCGCTGGAGAGTTTTGACTAGGAGAGTACCGATCTAATTTTAACCACTAAATGGGATCCTCTGGCTGATGTGGGGAAAACTAGACTGTTGAGAGGTAAGACCAGAAACAATGAGGACATGTTACGGTCTGAAGAATGCTCGGCTGCTGACTCTCATCGCCAATAAGAGATCAGGAGGCAGAGAACTGGAAGAAAGAGGTTTGTTTCTGAATTCAGAATGCAGGGAGTCAGAACCTGGTATTTCTTGCACAAGTCTGCTCAGCCCTCAGGTTTCACAGTTCATATTTATAAGCCCAGGTTTGCTGGTTGCTAGAGATTAACATAAAACCAGAACCTTTGTTACAGTTGTATCTTGTCAGTACTGACATTTATAGTTCTTTTACTTGGTACCAGTTACTAGAGATAGCCTGCAATTTCACTTACTGGTAACTCCAGGCAGAGGAGTCCATCGAGCTGACCACAGAGCAAGGGAGTATCAGAGCCTATTACAAAGTAGCCATTATTATATTATTACATATCACGAATCAGTAGTTATAACAAGACAAAAGGGTATACAAATGACAAGACATATGGCTACGTGGCTACTGTAACTCTTTGAATCTGTGACTACTAATAAAAAGAAGTGAATAATGATTCATTTCTATCAGTTGAATGAGCACAGCATGCAGGAGAGTTAGGGAATCCTTGAAGTGACTGGTGAGAATGTAGAGGAGGTAAGAGAAAAATGCTCTCCTCTGCTAACTCTCAGGAGCGTAAGTATGTGCAGGGCTAATTGTCTCTACCTCTTTTCAAGGGTTATGGCAATATGGACAAGCAATAGTGGGCTTCTGTATCAGACAGAAGATTTTAAAAATTATTTTATTTTAAAGGTGTGGGGTGCAATTCAAGGTTAGGTATACAAATGTTCATTATCCAGGTATGCTTGTTGATGAGATGTCCCCTCCTCCCCTCGCCACCCTGGCAGTTTCCCACTACTGCCAATCCCTTTCTTATAGTATTATGATAATTGTTCAAGGTCTGCTTATGAGTGAGAACACGTGGAACTCGGTTTTCTGTTTCTGTGATAGCTCACTGAGTATCATAGACTCTAAATTCACCCAAGTTGCTGTGAAGTCCATATGTTTGTCCTTCTTTGTGGCTGCATAATATTCCATTGTGTATAGGTACTACGATTTTTTTATCCAGGCCAGTTTTGATGGGCAGCACAGTTGGTTCCATGTGTTTGCTATTGTGAATAGTACTGCCATCATAAACACGCGTGTGCAGGTATCTTTTCTTGTAGAATGATTTGAGTTCCTCCAGTATATTCCCAGTAGGAGGATTGCTGGGTCATATGGAAGATCAATTTCTAGTTTTTTTCAGAAGTTGCCACACTGTTTTTCAGAGAGGTTGTACTAGTTTGCATTCCCACCAGCAGCATAGAAGAGTTCCTTTTTCTCCGTATCCTCACCAGCATCTGTTGTTGTTTGTTTTATTAATGATGATCATTCTTACTAGGGTTAAGTAGTATCTCAATGTGGTTTTGATTTGCATTTCTCTGTTGATGAATAAGGCTGACTTATTCACGTGTCTGTTGGCTGCCTGTATCTCTTCTTTTGAGAAGTGTATATTCATGTCTTTTGCCCACTTTTTAATGGGGCTGTTTTTTTTTTTGTAGTTGTTGTTGTTTTTTGTTTTTCCTTTCAGCACATTTGAGTTCCTTGTACATCCTGGATGTTAGGCCTTTGTCAGATACACAGTTGGCAAATATTTTTTCCCATTCTGTGGGCTGTCTTGCCTTTCTCTTGATGGTTTGTTTTGCTTTGCAGAAGCTTGTCAGTTTGATGAGGTCCCAATTGTCTCTCTTATTTCTTATGGCATGGGCACTTGGGGTTTTTGATCAGGAATTGTTTGCCAGTTCCAATTTCCATAAGGGTGTCTCCTGCATTTTCTAAGGTTCTCATAGTTTGAGGTTTTACACTTAGGTCTTTGGTTCATTTAGAGGTGATTTTTGTGCATGGTGATAGGAAGGGGTCCTGTTTTAATCTTCTGCATGTGGTCACCCAGTTTTCCCAGCACCTTTTACTGCATAGATTCTCCTCTCCCCAGTGGTTGTTGTTGGAGGCTTTGTCAAAGATGAGTTGGTTGAGAAACAGATTTTGCTTCTGGAATCTCTATTCTGTTCCATTGGTCTACATACCTGTTCTTGTACCAATTCCAGCCTGTTTTGATTATTGTAGCCTTATAGTAAAGTTTGAAGTCTGGAAGTGTCATACCTCCTGCTTTGTTTCTTTTGCTAAGGATTGTTTTGGCTATTCATGGTTGCTTACGTTTCCATATGAATTTCTGTATTGTCATTTCCAGGTCTGAGAAGAATGATGTTGGCAATTTAACGGGTATTGCATTGAATCTGTAGATTGTCTTTGGTAGTATGGACATCTTAACAATGTTGATTCTTCCTATCCATGAGCATGGAATATTTTTCAATTTGTTTGTGTCTTCTTGGATTTCTTTGAGCAGTGTTTTGTAATTTTCATTGTAAAGGACTTTCACTTCTTTGGTTAGGAAGATGCTGAGGTATTTCATTTTTTTTGTGACTGTTTTGCATGGAATTATGCTTTTTATTTGGTCCTCTGCTTGCTTGCTGTTGGTGTGTGAGAATGTGACTCTCTTTTGCACATTTATTTTGTACCCCGAGACTTTGCCAAAGTCCTTTATCAGTGCAAGCAGGTTTTTGACAGATTCTCTTGGATTTTCAAGGTATAGGATCATATTGTCAGCAAAGAGGAATAATTTAACTTCTACTTTTCCTATTTGGATACCCCTGATTTCCTTCTTGTCTAATTGCTTTAGGTAGGACTTCTAATACTATGTTGAACAGGAGGGGTGAGAGTGGGCAGTGTCTTGTTCCAGTTTTCAGGGGAAATGTTTCCAGTTTCAGACAGAAGATTATCATAGCAGATTGGGTGAGAGATGGCGGAGGCTTGGACTGGAATGGTAGCCATGGAGGTGGCAAGAAGTGTTTATAATTTGAAGCTTGAGCCAGTAAGATGTGTTGATGGATGGTTGTGGCGAGTGAGAGAGAGAGACAGAGAGAGAGAGAGAAAGAGAGAGAGAGAGAGAGAGAGAGAGAGAGAGAGAGAGAGAGAGAAAGAGAGAGAGAGAGAGGTTAGGTTGCATTTGGCCACAGTTAGGTTAGGTTGCATTTGGCCACAGAGGATATCAAAGCAGGAGACAGCCTCACAGCCTCAGGCAATGTTTTCATGCTTATTTAATCTCAGGCAATGTTTTCATGCTTATTTAATTTAACAAGTATTATAACCTTGCAAGTGATGTGGCAGCCTGTGATGAACAATTTTTTTGTGCTTTCACTTTTGTCTTGGCTGAAGCTATTTTTTCCATCTCTTGCTAAAGTATTTTCTTTCTCAAATAAAAATCTCCTGAATTTGTTTTTGGCAAGCTGTGAAAGAACAAATAATTTTAACATCTGGCTGGTTTAAATTTGCTAAAGTTCTGCTGTCTTCATTTCCATTTCATAAGACTTCCACTAGAATTTAAAATTAAAAATATGTACTCGTTACTAATATAAATTGCAATGATAATCAATATTGTCAGCAATGTTGAAACTGCATAGAGATCGAGTGAAATAATAATAATAATAATAATAATAAATAACAACACCACCTAACATTTGGATGCTTGTTATTTCCCACACACTGTGCTAGGTGCTAACATTTATTTAATCATTTAATCCATACAACACATTCCTTACTATGAAGGAGGCAATTGAGTTATAGCAATATTAGGTAACTTTGCCCAAGGTTCTAGAGTAAGAAAGTGGTGAAACCAATCTTCAAAGTTGTCAGTCTGGTCTCTGAGTCAATATTCCCAGACACCTCATTCTACCCCACTGGAGAAACTCTGAGAAAGTGGTTTCAGTAAATAAGAGATAAGATTGTTTGGGTTTAAATAGTAGGCGGTGAAGAGGTAAGTCAGAGAATAAACAATTTGTTTATTTAAGATATTTCTTCATTAAGTAAATATTTGAGTGCCTATTGTTTATCAGCTGTGATGCTAAGACCATACAAATTGTGACCTGGTTCTGCAGTTCTCAGGTTAATGGAAAGGAGATGTAGAAAATAATATCTTGGACTGGAAGCAAGACTCAGGAAAGTTTTGCTTTGCCTCTTCATTTTGGGATAACGAAGGCTTAGGCATGTTTGTAGAATGAAGAGAAGGAGCCAGAGTAAGGGAAATTTTGAAGACTCACCACGGACGTTGACTGCCAATCTTCCAAGAGTGGTCATTTTAAATAACAATATGTCCCTTATGTTCAGAATTTTTGCAGTTTTCACAATATAGCTGTAAAACATCCAAATCAATTAGAACCCTAAAATTTGGCATTTTAAAAGCATATTTTAAGTCTGAATCATCTGCTTTGAATGTACACATCGATTAAATTTCTACTTGGCATTTTTTAGAAATAGTTCCAATGTAATATTCTTTTCACTTCATCAGTCATTTCTGTGTCCTTACTATTTTTGTGTGAACCACTTCGCAAATATTGAGGTATAGTGTATCAATGGTGCTTTTTCCAAGGCAAAAAAAAAAAAAAAAAAATCTGACTCACAAAATTAGATGAATTTATGAATTCTTGCTTCATTTGCCTATCTCTATCTATCACTTATTTATCTATTTATTTGTTATCTAGCTATTTATTGCCTATATTGCAAAAACCTGGATTTATAATTTAGGCATGAAGCGATTAAAAAGGATTTATGCTCTATCTTAAAATGACAGGATCTCTAGAAGCTGCCTTGTTTTTTATATGAAGGGTGTTGTTCTAACGAAGGCATGGAAACTACTAAGTGTTAGCTTCTGTTTTTATTGTACACCTTCCAGAAGTTTTTAACTGAAGACTCTATGCACTGTAGTTCTTTCCACAGAGAGCTGACTGATACTCGAAGAAGTGTTTTCATTTATCTAAGAAAAAATATGATGTCTCTATCCCAAGCCTCACTCCTCTTCTTAAATATATGTATTTTTATTTGTGGAGAAGCTGTCCAAGGTAACTTTGTACGTCATTCTACGGTAAGAATTTTAGAATATTATTTTAGTGAGGAAAGCGTGATTATCTTTCCAGATATATACTCGAAGTTTAAGAAGATTAACTATACTACCAAATAGAATTTATGGAACAATTAAGATGTTTAGAGCTATTTAGACATTGCTTAAATGTTGCTATTCCTAAACTCAGGAAACTATAAACTGAGGGTTGACTCAACACATTTCTTGTGAGGAATTTTCAAAGAGATTTCATGCCTCGGTTAAAACTTGCAACTTTCTAATTAACTGTCATAATAAAATACCCGATGGGTCGTTAAATAATCACTTTTTTTAAAAAAGCTATTCTGTAAACTTTTATATTTCAAATATAGTCCAGTGAGTGACTACCGAGGAAATTAAAAAATTGAGCCATCAGGTTTTATTTACTTATCAGGTTTATTTGTGGAAATTTGAACTAGCCAGTTTATTATTTTTTCTCTAATGCTCATCCTCGTTGTACATCCTGATTTCTAACCTTTTCTGAAGAGTCTTCTCATTTATTATGCATTGGGTCGTATCATATATTTCATGCATATTTTTCTTGTTTCTATTTTTTAATGTAAAGGAATCTTCAGCGGTTAACATTGTCGAAGATGTAGCCAATGAAAAAGATGAGAGTAAGAGTAATGATACCATTTACAAGGAGGACTGTGAGGAACTGTGTGATGCTAAAACTAAAATCACACGAGAAGAAAAATATTTCATGTGTCGTAAGTATTAAAAACGAACACAATGCAAAGGTATATGGTTGGGTAGACATAGATGAATATGCTTTAGCTTTTGTCTGTTTTTATTTTTTTAGATAGTGTTTCACTCTGTCGCCCAGGTTAGAGTACAGTGGCATGATCATGGCTTGGGTCTCTTTATATACACCCTGATCGCGCTGGGCCAGAGACTTTATGCGTTTGGTCTATAATAGGTGCTTAGTAAGTGTTTGGTAAATAGATGGATTCTTCTTTCATATAGCCTTGTGACATCAGCTGACCAGAGGGAAGGGGGAAGCCAGAAGGTGCTGATAGCAGTGTTGTATCAATTCAGTCAGGGCTGTTTTTCCTACTTTCATCTGACTATTAGGAAATTTCACCTTAGTTTTTTTGTTGGGGGAGGTGCTTGGGGATGGATAGTAAAAACTAACACATGAGTACTGAATACTACAATAACTAATACGATAGGTATAATGCAAATTCACAGCTGATTTAAATAGCTAAGCATAATAAATAAAATGCTTTAAACTCAGTTAAAACTATTTAGCAACAGTGCATTTCCATTGTCTATTATATGTGCAAAGGAGCTGGGTTGACGAAGGGGAATCAGAAAGGGTGGAGTGGATGATCCGATCCAGGTCTGTGACTTCTAGGTCAGGAAGTACAAAAAGCTCACTTTCATGCAGCCAATTGTGTGTGTAACACAACTGTCTCAGCCAATGAGTAAAGCTTTAGGGCCATCAAGACAGATGTCTCATCCAGGAAAAAGCTAATAAGTTAAGAGAAAGCGAGAGACTGAAAAGAAAAATGAGAGATGAGGCGAGGTGAGGATGAGGCAGAATTTAAAATAGCAAGAAGTATTAGTGTGATTCTAGTGTGGGGGGGAAAGAAACTCAGAAGGGAAATAAATTTTTTTTCTTTTTTTTTTTTTTGAGTTGGAGTCTCACTCCGTCGCCCAGACTGGAGTGCAGTGGCCATTCCCGGCCACCGCAGCCTCGACCTGTCGGGCTCCGGCGATCCTTCCGCCTCAGCCTTCCAAGTAGCTGGAATTACAGGCGTGCGCTGCCATGCCCGGCTAATTTTTTGATTTATTGTAGAGATGAGGTCTCGCCAAGTTGCCCAGGCGGGTCTCGTACCCACGGGCTCGGGCAATCCACTCACCTCGGCTTCCCAAGATGCTGGGATTACAGGCTGAGCCACCGAACCTGGCTTAAAATAAAAACATTTTTAAAGGAAAATATATAGTACAAGTTCAGTCAGAAACCAACTAACCAAAACTTTGACTAAAGATTTATTATGTGTATGCATATATATGTTAGCAATTTAATTATATGAAAATATAATACTAACACAAAAATTAAAACAAAAATTATTATTTTTGTTGGATTCTCATTCCATCATTCAGGCTGGAGTGCAGTGGCATGATAACGGCCACCCCAGCACCGACCTGCTAGGCTCAGGTGATCCTTCCACCTCAGCCTTCCAAGTAGCTGGAACTACAGGTGCGCGCTATCGTACCTGGCTAATTTTTTTGATTTATTATAGAGACAAGGTCTCGCCAAGTTGCCTGTGCTAGTCTTGAATCCGTGGGCTTAGGCAATCCAGTTGCCTTGGCCTCCGAAAGTGCTGGGATTACAGGCTGAGCCACCGAACCTGGCCAAAAATTAATTTTAAAAATTAACTTGTCCGTCATAAAATTACTGTCTTTTACTTTCTTACATAGTAAAATTGGTGAATCTTAGGCCTTCTGCTTCTTATAAAGTGGGAATTGATATTCAGAACATTATCTCTTAATTATAACAGATTCATTTTTTGGGGTACTCTAAATTATTAGGAAGCATAGTTTCATGAAGAAGTTTTGAAACAATTGTTTCCTTGGTTAATCCTGAATAAAAGAAAACATAGACTAGCAAAAAATACAACTCTGAGTATTAAGACAAATTGAGATATTATTATGTTTATATGTTTATCCAGAATTATATGAAATTGATTGTCACTGTAATTGTTCTCTATGACAATATAATATTTAGCAGCCACTTTTTATTATGGTTAAGGAAATTTGCAGAATTCGATTGTTTCCTACACACGCGGTACCAAAAAACTGCTAAGAAACATCATGGATGAGCAACAAGCTTCCTTGGATTATTTATCTACTCAGGTATGAATTTTTTAGCCTTGTGTTGTCATTTCATGTGCATATTGATATTCAGTGAACTGGAGGTATAATTTTTTGTGTGCGTTCATGGTCAGATATCTGTTTTGTACCTTCTGTGTTAGAAGCACCATAGTAAGCCTTGGGCAAATAAAAAGCAATAAAAACAATGAACCTTCACTCAAGAGACATATGGTCTAGTGGGGTAGAAAAATGTATTGGAAAAAATGTAGTTGCTGTTAGGACGAGACAAAGAGAAATCTAACATACAAGATAGTTTCCCAGAGGAGAGAGCCCAAGAACTGAGCCATGAAGAAAAGTAAGGCCTTTAAAAGTCACGAAGGTTGGGTGAAGAGCAGAGGACGTTCCTTTTTGGGGGAACTTCTTGGAGTTGGTGCAGAGTTGGAGTGGCTGGCCAAGCTGAGAGTATAACAAGGAACAATGACTGACCGCTGGAATAGTCGGGAACTGAGTCATGTCACACAGAGGAGTCATGAAGAGTATACAGGTGCCATGATCCAACTGACAGTTGGAGGGGAGGATGGCTTGGACAAGAGCCAAGAGAGGAGATAAGAGACGAGAGTGATGGTCTGGACAAGGTGTGAGGAACAGACCTACGGGAGCAGTCAAGGACAGAAACGCATAGACACAGTCAAGGTTGGGAAGACAGGCGTTCCTGGGCTGAATGGCTGCTGTTTGGCTGTGCCTTGCTCTTTGTGAAAGCTTACTGCTAGAAAAATGGGCATCATTATGCATCTCAGAGTTGGGTTTATATGAGGCTGAGAGATAGTAGTTACAGAATTTAGCTAAAGAAGTCCTCTTCAAATGTCAATTTACTTAAATGTGTATGTGTGTGTGTATGTGCAGGTTAACGAGCTCTTGAATCGAGTTCTTCTTTTGACTACAGAAGTTTTGAGAAAACAGTTGGATCCTTTTCCTCTCAGACCAGTTCAGTCACATGGTGAGAACTTTGGTATTTCAGCCTTTTCATGTTTGTCTTTTATTGCTTAAAATTTTCCTGGACAGGTTGGTGCATTTAAAAGTTTTCTTTGAAAAGGACAACTCACTATTCTCTAACAGGCTGGAGGACTAATACCTACCATTAAGCAAATTATACCACAGACAATATGTACTTTCCTAAAATGGGAACCTTTCCCAACCATTTGAAGCCATGGCTGTATAAAGATATCCCGAATCTGCTGAAAAATAGCATAGCTTTATTCTGGGCTCCCGTTTACATTTTATTAATAATTCATTTTCAGATAGAAGAAAAGAGACTTTAAGGGTTCCTTCCACCTGTAAAAAAAAAATGCTTTTGACATGCTTGAAATGTTTCAAACTAGGACATAAAATTAGAAAAGAAAAATAAAGACAGAAATCAATGAAAAGTTAGTTGTTTTTGCACAAAATGATAGCATATTAATTTCCAGAGGCAAGCCTTTTAAGAAATATGCCCTGTTCTGGCTACTTGGAAGGCTGAGGCAGGATTGTCTGAGCCCAGCAGTTGATGCTGGGGCAGCAGTAAGCATGCCACTGCACTTCAGCCTGGGCGACAGAGTGAGACTCTAACTCAAAAAAAAAAAAATAACCTATAAACCTTGCAAATATGAATTCATACCAAAAAGTTCCAAGCAGATAAATATTATTAAAGTTCTAGAATATGATGTTTATACTTTTCTTAGGAAGGGAGAGAATAAACTATGCCTGAGAATCTTCTAAGTGCTGAGTATGAAGACAGACACTGTCACATGTTATTTTGTTATTTTAAGATTATTTATTTATTTTTGAGTTGGTGTTTTACTCTGTCGCCCAGGCTGGAGTGCAGTGGCAAGCTCACAACCACCGCAGCTTCGACCTGCTGGGCTCGGGCGATCCTTCCGCCTCAGTCTTCCAGGTAGCTGGAACCACAGACGCATGCCACCACGCCTGGCTAGTTTTTGTGATTTATTGTAGAGATGAGGTCTCACCAAGTTGCCCAGGTTGGTCCTGG